TTGAATTCCTATAGTGGGTCCTTGAGGTTTAAATCCTAAATTGATATTTGGAGAGGAATTAAGGTTTTAATGGATTTTCTTGACCTTGGAGTGTTGCCTTGATGATTATACCCTTTTTAGTTGGGTAGAGTTGTGGTTGGAGCTAGAAATTTTGTGTCCCCAAGTGTTGTTTTGGCCACATTATTAGTTGAAAGCTAATACATGGTGGTTATGTGTTTGTGTACTTGTGTAGATCGGTTGTGAGCCTTGTTGGTGCACGGGGCCGTCTTATTGGTTTGTTATTCCTTGCTCAGGCGAGAGGTAACCACTTTCCAATCCTTTATACATGCTTTTGTGGTATTTTGAGTGGATTTATGTTTTGTGCTCCGGATAACAAATGTGTTCAAGTGTATGTCGTCTATTGAAAAGGAAAACTGTCTTGTGGGCTTTAAATTGATATTGATTGAATTTGTAACTTGTAAAAGATAGGCCACTGAAAGAAGTTAATTGTGAAATGATTATTTACGCTTTGATTATGGTTTGAGCATAATGCATGAATTGGGAATTGGTGAGAATTTTGATTGTTACTACCACGTGGTAAGGCTTCCATTAATGCATGATGGTTGGCTCTTTACGTCCCCCATAGTGAGGGATAGGCCTTTTGGCTCCCTACGTCCCCCAGAGTGAGGGATAGGCCTTTTTGGCTCCTTACATCCCCTATAGTAAGGGATAGGCCGGCTTCGGCTCTTGAAAATCCCCCAAAGTAAGGGATATGGTTGATGGGGTTGCATCATTGCACTTGCATTACTTGTTGTGACTATCATTTATAATATTACTTGTGAACTGCCCCACTTGACACCTCACGAGCATCTATTTAGTAGTACCTTGAATTGGAAAGATTGGTTACTGGGACGTTGTCTCGCCCTGTGGTTTGCAATGTTTTCAGGTGAAGGTTCTAGACGAGTGTCGTCGGGAAGAGACGCAGAGGCTTGAGCTTGGTTAGCTTTAGGCATCTAGCCTTTGTTTATGTATGGCTAGTTGTATATTGCCACATTTAGGGTCCTTTTGAAATATTTTGATTGTTGATCTTATCGTAAACTGGAGAAAATGTTATCTCCTTATTTTGGTTGGCCAGAGGCCATTTCTAGTGCTTTGTGAAACTTGATATATATTATTGGAAACCAATTGGATGGGCTGATTTTGATGTCTTTTATTACCCGGACCGGAGGCTCGGAGGCCCAGTGAATGTTATTGGATGATTTCAGTTGCATGCAACGGAGTTGAGTTTGAACCGATTTTAAGTGTTAATTTCGAAAATTTTGTAATTTCTTTCTACTACGGTAGTTTATTGTAACAGCTTTCCTTTTCTACCATAGTAGTGAATTGATGACGAGTTTATAATGTTTTGAGCTTAAGGGTTTTACATCATTAATTACGGAGGCTGTTACATGATGCATGTCTATGGCACAAAAGGATTAATTCACAGCAAAAAAGCAAAGTCAGGGCACCATCCCCTTTTCAGAAAAAATGAGCATCTACCCTTTTACAAGTGATCAGAAAAGTACAGGTTCATTTTTGTCAATATTCTTAGGCCACATAAGAAGAATTAATGTGAAATAGCAGATTAAATTGCCATCATTCAGACGAGGAGCATTGAAGGACAAGAAACGACCTTTATTATGTGTAGGGACACCAACCCCTTTTTATAAAGTGAGTCTCTACTTTTTTTTTATAAGTGATCAGAAAAGTGTAAGGTTATTTTTGTTCGTATACCAGGGCTAGCTAGAAATATTTAAGGCAAGGACGTCTACTTAGTTGCAGTGATTCAAAGGAGAACAATTGGAGATTGGAAAAGTAATATTATTTCTCCTCAAATAGATATTACTTTCAATGGTTCAAACTTTTTGGGTCCTACATATTATGTTATCTTATTGCTTATTATTAATTATTAATATGGATGATGATTGTATTTCTCATTGGATTTACTTTTGAACCATGGACAAGGGGGAGATTCAACCTAAGTTCATCTGAAGTATATATTTTTAGGACCAAATTATTTTGAGATCAACTGTGTGTACATAATGGATCACAGCTCTGAATGTATGTAGTATTGAATGGAAATACTCCTCCAGAGTATAGGTCTAATGGAGGTAAGCCTAAACAGTGAAAACTCACACAACCCTATGCATTCGAGAGGCACAAGAACTCTCCCACTTCACTCATCACATTTCTCCTGCCCCCTTTAACAATCAATCCCCTATTATATAGCCTCTCTCCCTCACTAACCGTCAATTAGAAAATACCGCAATTACCCCTGCTCACATGGTTCCCGTCCCCCGCATGGGAATATTACTCTTATATCCAATAGTACATATATGAGATGATAGAAGATATCCGGCAATTAGGACAACGAGTTTGGAGCTGACATCATGTTGAACTTTTATTATAAAATGTTAAAGAAATTGTAAAAGTAAATAGTAGATCAGTAAAATTCACAATATCAGAAGTTTAAATCAGTAGAAGAAAACTCATGTGCTTTTTTGCTGTCAAATACAAGGTGGAACTAATAAAGAACATGGTTTTAAAAATAGCTGACTATATATTCTAATACTCTGCCAAATGAGACAGATGCTATATAGAAGTTGCAGGTGTTTGCTTTTTCTTGGATAATATGAATTATACAGCAAATTCCTCTAAGTCTTATGTATTGGATGCTCATCCTGCATTTGCTAAGGTCAAACAGATCTTCTAAATCAAGAGTGCCATAAGAGGTTTTGGCGGTCGGGTGTAAATGCTTGGAGAATCACTTTTCAGTGAAGTCAAAGATTTTGGGATGACTTTTCTAGAAGGTATTGTACTATTGTCCCTTTCCATTGTTAAACAGTTTTTTTTTTTTTCATTTTCCTCTTGCTTCTTTTCTGTTACACGGTTTTGGTTTCACTTCATCTTGCTTTTTTCAAGAGGCGTGCATCAGGATAACAAATAGGGGATGCTCTCCACCAATGTCCTTTCCATGACAAAGCTTGTGGTAATAAGCCTTGCTAATCTCCTCCTAGAAAGCTTAGGTACTGACGTAAAGAATATCATAATGCTCTGAATTTGATATGTTGATGTATATGTTCTGAGGAGTTTCATTGGTAAAATTTATCTTTAATTTATGCGTAGAAGAAAATTTATTTTTCATTTAACATTAGATAAATTTAACTTTTTTAGTATCGTAATTTTATATGATAAGAAAAACTTAATGCTAATAAATTTTTGTGCCAGTTCGTGATTTTTTAAAAGCAAAAATCGTTTAAAAAAATTGAAACCATATACCTAATATAGTGATTTTCAATGAAACTTACAAAATTATATGCTTGTTTGCAGGATAGCCTAGTTTAGAATAACATGATAAGAATGTGGGCCTTGGAATAGTTTTAGTTGAGAACAAAATGACGTCATCTTGTGTATTTCGTGTTATCTGCAAGTTTCACCTGATATGTGATATAACTAATATAGTGATTTTATGAGAAACTGAAAAAAGGTTCCACATATTGAAAAAGGAGATGCTGCTGAAAAAAGAGATGTTGCAGTATGGAGAGATATGGCTTATCATACGTTTATATTCAAGTATGTATCTGTAATGCATCCAAATATGGCAGGTGATAAAGCAAAATAGAGTAGTTGCATGAATATTTTGCTATTACATGTGGATTTTAGATCCCTCCTAACATTTTCTGTTCTATAATTTTGATGCTGGATATATTAAGAGATGTGTCTTTAGGATTCATGGCTGCAATCTATTGCTTGCCATTATACCTTCATCCTTGCTCTTTAATTTGGTATTTGTAATAGCTAGACTTTGACTCGTGTGAATGTGGAGGCGGCAATTGCTAGAACATTTCTAACACAGTCAAATGGAAGTGGCAGAGGTTTGTGTCAAGTTTCTTGGGTAATTTTGGAGCCTTAGATGCGTCACTATTAAAAGTTTATGAATCAGTATTGTATCCTGGCCTCACTCAGCAAGTTGATAGAAGATTATACCTCACTCAGCAGGTTGATAGAAGATTATACCTGTCTTGAAAATTTCCCATTTAGATCCTACCTTTTATATGCTGTGCTCACCCATGATTATAAATTAAAAAGATATATTGATCTAAAGTTTACCAATTACTCTATTATGAACGTAGATGGAATTTCTTCATGACAATGGTACATTAATATCATATGTCACGTCTATGAAGTTGAACAAATAACAGTTGGCTAGAGTCAAAAACATTTTTAATCAATTGGAGATTGAAAATGTATGTTAATTTGGTCAAAATATCCTCAAGAACTTTTAATCAAAATTAAGGTATAATCTTAGTGTCAGTACTCTGTACAGCATATTGAATTCCAATTTGCATCCACTCATGAACATGAACATGATATACTTGATGTCTTGTAGACTTGCACAAAATGGTTAAGATGAACACATTTCCAATGATAGCAAAAGGTTGGGATTATGTTCCAGGAAAAAGTCAGCATTATATTCTAATTCCCATACCTATTTTGATGTTAACTAATACGAGATAATGCTAATATGCCTCAAGTTATGGATACTTCTCCCTTGCTTCTGAATAAACTCGTGTGTTATGATTTTGCTTGTCACGTAGTTGGATGAGCAACTTCTGTAGGATGCGTTGCTCTTAGAAGTACACGCTATAATCATTTATGGCACAATATCCTTAACTCCATTTGAATATCACATGCTAGCATTTTGGAACAAAAAAATGAATTGGTACCTGATCAAATGCAAAATGCGTGAGCAAATGAAAGAAATAAAGTAAGAGACTTGATCACTATACTTAACAGATATAGGAATTTAAATAAAGAGAACAAAATAAATTTTGAGAATTATGAATTAGAGAACACGCAAGTTCCCTGTCACTTGTCATAATCATTTTGAGATGTCAACCTTTCTAAAAATCTCTTCAAAACATAATTTTTAAAATCAAATTAAATCAATTTGTCTAACAAAAAATAAGTAGTTATTTCACTGGTCCAAAATAGAAGATAATCAAAATATAATGATTTAAGATTTACAAACTCTCCGTGCGTCCGAAACGACATGCCAGTTCATGAATAATTACTAATCACCCGTGAATCAAAACATAAAATATAATATTAGTCTATGCTCTCTTCCTCCTCCCCCTCCTCCTCTTGCTCCCAAGATTTTTGAGGAATCTGAGGAATTCTTTTCTGCTGTAATTTTTGAGGAACCGAATCACGGTTTGTTTGGGTCTGATCATTAAGAAAAATTTTCGAAAATATTTGTCACGCATTATGAAAGTTCCTGCATCACTTTCCAACTTGGAAGAAAGCTTGAGTTTGGCCAATTTTTTGAATGCAATACCAACAGAAGCAAATGAACAGTTGTTGACTGTGGCTTTCTTCTTAGGAGTCGCTCTGACTCTGTGGCTCTGGCGGTAAGGGGACAAAGAGCTCACCTGGGAAAAAAAAGGGGAAAGGTGAAAAGACTATCATAAATCATTCGAAAAGACCAGATACGAATTTGAAAGTGACCTCATCCCAAGCAATAACCAAGCGCTTGTGTTCTTCTTCCTCAACAGGAAGAAGAGGCCAACTCCAACTCCTTTTTGGGTATGACATTAAATACGATTGTGCTGCAAAGCAACAAGAAAATCATTATAGTTTTAGGCGGTGCCTACCAGAAATCACCTTTAAATCAGCATACAGGATTTCCGTGTGAGGGAGAGAGCATCCACAGAGAGAAGCAACAGACACAAAGCTACGCGGGTTTAAATTTTAATCCAAAACCGAAACAACCCAACCAATACAAAATAAATTCACATGACTTCACTCTACGGCTCATCTTAAACTGGACTTGTTTGTTTTTGTAGTGTTTAAGGGATCTTATATCTATACATATGTATGTGCGTATCTTTTATTTAGATAGTACAAACATTAAACTAAAAATAAGTGGTGCTTTCGTGTTACTCCCTAACTAAAAAAAAAAACAGAGAGAGAAAAGGAGCAGGAGGAGGTTTACTAGGCAAACAAGGCAACCGTTAGCAGCAAAGTAGATTCAGCGAGCAGCGTAGATCCGGCGACCAGAGATCACAGCACACGGCACGAACTCACTGGCGACAAGCCCAAGAAGTCACCACTTGGCAAGAATCGGACGGAGAGAATGGAGATGCAGTGGACCAGAGAAAAATAAAAAGGGAGAGAAAAGAAGTAATACAAAAGGGTAGGTAAGGGATGCTGGCGTGCACTGATCAACAAGTGAGAAGAGCATGAGAAAGAAGGGTTTGATGGCTAGGCAAATGAATGAATGATTTGGTTAGGTTCAAAAACCGAAGAGAAGAGGAGTAAAGAGAAACAAATTTAATAAAGGCTTTTATTTTTACTTACCAATTGTTGAGATTATTTGAAAATCAAGGTTGCAATCTTCCCACTAAGCACCAGTGAAGGTTGGGTCTCTTTGTTGCTACACTCAAACCGGCTCCCTCTCTTCTATCAGGGGAAGGAAGAACTGGGTGTGGCAAGGTTATACACGGTAGTGAAGCAGAAAGGCTTGGGGGTTTTTCCTGTAGATTAGAGGTTCAGGATGCAGCAATGGCAGAAGTCTGGGGTCTCATAGAGGGACTGAAGCTTTGTTGGAACTTGGGACTCCGAAAAATCCAAGTTGAATCAGATGCAAAGAAGAGCATTAACCAGATCAGGGAGTACAAAGAAATAGAAGGGGACAGAAGATTAACGAGCATGATAGAGGAGCTAATACGGAGAGAATGGCAACTGGAGTTTGAGCATATTTATCAGGAAGGAAATTGACGTGCTGATACGATGGCAAAGATGAGTCTATCACTGCCTCAACAATGGAGAATGTGGGAATCACCATTCACCACCAAGTGAAATACACCGACCATTGTCGGAAGATGTAGAAGGAGTTAGGCCTAGAGGCTAGGGGTGCACATAGATACGGCTGGCTTCCTGGCTTCCTGCCTAATGCCCAGCCCAAAGTTTGAGCGGGCTGCATCCTGCCCATAGAAACCCTAACCATTTTGGGTTGGACATGAACAGGCTGGGCAGGGCAGGACGGGCTGCCCTGCCCCAATGATGATGTCCTACCAAAATCACATCTGAAAATAATTTCATTTATACCTAAAAATTATATTTCATAATTCTACATTTCCTAGCATGGAAATCATCCAAAACAAGTCTTAACATGTATATAATTAAACAGCATCCATAATCCAAACAAGACAACTCTTAAGATTCTAATTGAGGCCTTAAGCGCTTAGGCTACTCACATTCATTCTCAACAAAGACAAACCATGTCTATATCGTTAAGTTGTAACCTTCCCTTGCAGGCATCTAATTTAAAAACTTAGCTTAAAGGCTATAGAATCATTAAATACTACATTGCACGATTATAAAATATAAAATCAGGGGACGGCTGCTGATTTAAAAAAATGATAACTGATAAGCTGAAGCTATGAAAACTAAAATTTAATTTTTTTTAAACAAAAGAAGTCTCAAGTCTCAACCTTTTGTTTAAAAGAGACGGCATTCCTCTGACTTCCAGTCACAAAACTCAAAAAATAAAGACACCCGCAAGCCACAAGAAAAGATTCCCAGTCCTTGTGCACTGAAATTAAAATTGAATCTAGAAAACGCATAATATTGAGATTACCGCAATAACTCTTCTCCAATACACACGGACTGGTTGTTCTCACTTCTCTATCTGTGAGAGCGATGGATTGGACGAAAGACATCGAGAGCAACAGACTAGATGAGAGACGGAGAGAACGACGGACTCTGCCGAACTAGACGAGAGACGGAAGGAGACGAGGAGTGAGGAGCGAATCGCTAACTGGTTGTTGCTGGACGGCTGGAGAAGTGGAGTAAGTGACTGAGCTGGTGGTTTAGGCGTTGAGCTTCAGAGTTGAGACTGAGAGCGAGAGGAGTCGATGGGTACGCTAGGGCAAATGAAAAAAGGGGAGAATATTGTTTTTTGGGAAAATGACATTAAGGTCCTATATAACACAAAATACTACTAAAAGGTCCCAGGAAATTTAGTAATGATTCTGAAGTCCCAAAGGGACTTGAGTGCAATTTGATGAATTGTAAAAAGACGCCTCTGTCCCTGGTGAGATGCCCCTAAACTAACTGAAAGCTGTCCTGTTTTTCAGTCTGAAAATCAGCACTCTATACGCAGGAAGTAAGAGAGAAAAAACCCAAACTTCATTCTGCTTCTTCCTCCATTCCCATATGAAAATCTCATCCACTCCATTAATGTCAATCATTGGCAAAAATCACTTGTGTTTTTGGTTTAGTGTGTGTTTGGTCATTCAAGTTGGGGTTTTATTGTAGGTAGGTAAGGTGATTATGGGTGTTCTGTTTCTGGGTATATTGTGGGTGGATTAAAGGTGGATTTGCTCTGTTTGAGCATGATTTAGGGGGAATCGATGAGAAAGATGAAGGTTTGTGTGATTAGAAACCCTTACTATGAAATAGGAAAATATGTTGTTAATATGGCCATGATAGCTGTCAATATAGCTCATTGGCTTGTCAATAGTAACAACATTATACAGATTTACATTAACTGATTTTTTAAATTTTTTACACAAAGACCATGACCTTCTGTACTCTTGACTTATTGGTAGAGGTCACAAAAAGAGGAAGAAGAGGCAACAAAGAAGAGTGAGTAATTACATGAAGCAAAAGAAAAAAAATGAAAAAAAAAAGCCACTTTGATCCTAGACAAATGATGGCAAAAGAATTTTTTTGTAAATAGAAGTAACATAAATTTTTTTTTGTAGATGTCACAACACACACAAATAATTAGTTTGATACTGGATACATGCAACTATATTTTTTTAATAGGGTTATAAAATCGGTGTAATTACATGTATACAAAGTTGTAAATGAAAGTTAGCTGTGTATTACATTCTAATGCATAGTTAGTTGTCATTATCTACACCCTTTATTGCCAATATATGCTTCGTCACTTGTCACTCACTGCACCATCAGTTGTCAATTAATGTGCTGATATAAATTTAAAAACAAATATGATTTTTGTTACATAATGTTATACAACGTCATATAATATCACTAATTCCTCAAAATTAATCCATTTTTTATAATGTGATATAGAATAATTATTAAAAGTCAATCATCACTGATATGAAATCATAAAATCACTTGTCATAAACAACATATTCACTTGCTAATGGTTTTGCTCTGTTCTGATGTTAGTTTTAGTGGCAAAGGAAGAAAAAGATGAAGATTAGTGTGTGTGAAAACTCTTAGCATGAAATGGGATATTGTGTTGTCAATTAGGCCGCGATAGTTGTCAATGTGTGCCACAACAGTTGTCAACGTAACTCCTTGACTTGTCAATGACAGTTGCGTGATTTTTGATGCAATTTTAAATTACTGATGGCGAGTACATCTGGAAAGCATTTATTTCAAGAAGTTATTTAGCAAACAACAAATCACGATGCTACTATTGACAAGTCAGTGTGCCACTATTGATAAGTCATAGTGCTTCCATTAACAAGTCACAGTGCCATCATTGACAAGTCACAGTGCCACCATTGACACTTCATTAATAATGATTATATATGACAATATAACTAAAATATAATATGACAGAATAATTGAAAATATCATATGATACTAAAACAGGTTATGTAACTTAAATTCATATTGTTGACAACTTACATCAGTAAATTAATTGACAAGTCATAGTGCTCCATTGACAAGTTATAACAGGTCTAATAATAATGCAGGGTGCGGGTAATGGCAACTAAAATAACAGCAAAATCTAACATGCCAAGTTACACTGAAACCATTAACAAGTGAATATGTTGTTCATGACAAGTGATTTTATGACTTCATATCAGTAATGATTGACTTTTCATAATTATTCAATATCACATTATAAAAAATGGATTAGTTTTGAGGAATTAGTGATATTGTATGACGTTGTATAATAGTATGTAATGAAAATCATATTTTTTTAAAATTTATATCAGCACATTAATTGACAACTGATGGTATAGTGAGTAACAAGTGATGAAGCATATATTGACAATGAAGGGTGCGGATAATGACAACTAACTATGCATCAGAATATAATACACAGCTAACTTTCATTTACAACTTTATATACATGTAATTATATTGATTTTATAACCCTATTAAAAAAAACATATAGTTGTATGTATCTAGTATCAAACTAATTATTTGTGTGTGTTGTGACATCTACCAAAAAAAAAATTTATGTCACATCTATTTATGAAAAAATTCTTTTGCCATCATTTGTCTAGGATTAAAGTGGCCTTTTTTTTTTCCATTTTTTTCTTTTGCCTCATGTAACTAATCACCCTTCTTTGCTGTCTCTTCTTCCTCTACCTCTACCAATGAGTCAAGGGTATAGAAGGTCATGGCCTTTGTGTAAAAAGATTTAAAAAATCAGTTAATGTAAATTTGTACAATGCTGTTACTATTGACAAGTTAAAGAGCTATATTGACAACTGTCACGGCCATATTGACAACATATTTTTCTATTTCGTAGTAAGGGTTTCTAATCACACCAACCTTCATCTTTCTCATCAATTCCCCCTGAATCATGCCCAGATAGAGCAAACCCACCTTCAATCCACCCACAATATACTCAGAAACAGAACACCCATAATCACCCTACCTACCTACAATAAAACCCCAACTTAAATGACCAAACACACACCAAACAAAAAACACAAGCAATTTTTGCCAATGATTGACATTAATAGAGTGGATGAGATTTTCAGATGGGAATGGAGAAAGAAGCATAATGAAGTTTAGGTTTTTTCTCTCTTGCTTCCTGCGTATACAGTGCTGATTTTCAAACTGAAAAGCAGAGCAGCTTTAAGTTAGTTTAGAGGCATCTCACCAGGGGTAGAGGCGTCTTTTTACAATTCATCAAATTGCACTTAAGTCCCTTTGGAACTTTAGAATCATTATCAAATTTCCTGGGACCTTTTTATAGTATTTTGTATTGCATGAGACCTCAATGTCATTTTCCCTTGTTTTTTTGGCCTGAAAGAGGGAGTATTGTTTAAAAACTTAAAACACGGAGTATCTTATAATATATATTACTATATTATATATTAATATAATATATACTTAGATATATTTCGGGTAGGACTAAACAGGCAACACAGCATACCTTGCCTGCCGCCTGACCCTGCCTGTGATACGCCCGACCCAAAACTACCTTTTTTTTGTGTTGTATTTTTTTTGGGTCGGGTTGAGCTATTTTTTTTTCCGAGTTTGGGCAGGCGAGCGAACTACATGAGCACTCCTACTAGAGGCTTAGGAAATTAGTGGCTGGTTACTCATGTATCGCTGGAAAAAAAAAAATCTTGTTTGGTTTAGGAAGAGAAGGAAGGAAACTAATTATAAATTAATAAATATACTCTTGTTTTTATTAGTTTTTTTATTATTTTATTATGATACTTATATAATAATAATTATTTTCTAGTTTATGAACACACACAAAAAACAGTTATCTTGCATATGTAAAATATTTACATATCTATAAAATATGTACACATCATAAAAATATTATATTATAATTATCAAATATACATATTATAAGAAATATTACTATCATGATAAAAATATCATATCACCAATATGAAATATCATTACACTATTTTCATGATATAGATATGAATTCTTTTAGAAAAAATTAATTTATTTAAAATCAAAATATCTTTATACATTTCATCTAATTAGATGGTTTTTGAATTATTAATGCTTGACCATTATAAAAAAATTGTAAAATGGTGATTTTTTTTAGTTTAAATACATATGAATATCATGTGTTCCATTAAACAAAAAAAAAAAAACAAAAGCTACAATATTAACATCAAAGCATCAAGAACCATCAAATCATTAGTAAACTAAATATTTTTTAAGTTATTCACGATATCAAAATCACTAAACATTAAAAATCCCTAAATAATTATCCAACTAAATATTTCTAAGTCAATTTTCCAAGTCATTCATGATTTCCATA